GATAGGTACAGGCAGGAATCGTCAATGGATCCAGGAGGGAATTTTGATGAGTAACGGGGTGTATGCATGTTCTTTAAGTATCTTCTCACAGATTGTTTATTAGTTATAAGAGAGAAAAGAATGTTAACTATACAGGGAAGAAACAGGACAACATCTTGATTAGGTGATCAAAATTAACTTCAGCTGGGAGGATGAACATCACGTGCTTCCAGATGTGATGGCCTGAGTAGGACACAGCATTGCTTTGGCTGGGGGTGCAGAGCCTGAATCTAATCATGAGGAAACATCAGACAAACCCAAAGTGGGCAGCATTCTGTTTTTTTAATGAACTGTATTCTTTAACGATGTCTATGCCATAAAGACAAAGAAAGGCTATGGAAAGTTTCCAGATTAAAGGAAACTAAAGAAACAGGATGGCTAAAAGCTTTTGTTGTAGGAAAACCATTGCTTTAGCTAATAACACAACACACATATGCATGTGTACATATATACACTCATACACACCATCACAAACCCAAGAGTAAATGCTAATGTTGATTCTAAAGCTGTCATAGCCCAGATGATTTTGGGTAGAGAATATATAGGACACCAGCAACATAAGTCAGCAGGTAGAAAAGAGAAAACCAATACAACTCAGTCAACAAAAATCTTTTGGAATACTGATTCTGTGTCAGGTATTGAAGTAAGCACTGGGGTGCAGGGATAAATGAGACATGCAATTGCCTTCAGGGAGCTCCCAGTCTAATGAGAGACGGAAACAATCAAATCGGTGACAGCACATCATGAGCGGTACTGCAGTAAGAGAAGGAGCTGCTGCTGCAGAACACATCAGGCAGTCAAGAAAAGGAGGCAGCGGTGAAGGTTGACAGGTGGGATGAAATGCAACATGACACAATGGCTGTGAGCCCCGGCTTGGCTTTCTTGACCTGGCTTTGCCTCTCACTAGCAATGTGACTTGGAGAAAAGTCCTAATCTTCTTAAGCCTCAGTTTCCTCATTTTGAAAATGAAGGTAATTACTTTACTTTTATGGGTCATAATGAGGATTAAATGACATAATTCCCGTAAAGCACTTATCTCAATTTTCTGGACCATGCTTATCTTTTTGTAAGGCCTGACATCTGGAAGATACTCAGAATAATAACTGAGTAGGCAGGGACTATCATACCCAGTTGAAAAGGGCAGCTCTATAATGCATTCAATAGTATTCAAAGGATATAAAGATCTTGGGTCTAGGAGTGGTCTCGGATGAAGGTGGTGGGTGTGTGAATCCAATCCAGCCATAGGAGGAAGCCCAGTTCATTCACATAGGCCCCAGTCTGAGCTCAGGCTCAGAATCAGAAGGATTGGGGAGTTGAATTCAGCATGTGAGGAGGAGCCAAGTATAGCAAGATCTAGGCAAGATGTCAGGATGGTCAGACAGGCTTACGCTGCTAAAACCGATGGGCTCTGTCTCAGAACCTGGGGCAGGCCTGGGCCTGCTTGTGCAATGCACTGGTGAACGCAGTCTCTATGCATGGCTAAGAACACAGAGGTATGACCGTGAGTCATTACCAACCATTGCCCAAATCCTTCCTGTATATTCTATCTCTCCAGTCCTTACGACATCGCTGAGAGGTAGTCAGCATTAACCTCACATTCCAGTTGAGAAAGTTGAGGCTCAGAGAAGATTAACAACTAGCCTGGAATCTCTCAGGTGATAGTAGAGACAGATCTGTCTGGGTTCAAAGCTTTGGGGGTTGCCTCGTTGTATCAACCGGAGAGGAACTGTGCCCCACCAACTGCTCTTTAGTTACAACCCTGGGTGCTGGTCATTCTCTCAGGCAACTCATATCCAAACAAACCTGACGTAGAGTTCCCATTGCTTTACAGAAGAAGGAAAACACAGAGATAAGGCAAGGAACATGGAAACCCTAGAAATCCTTTCAGTGGTGAGGAACAGCCTGTAACGAGGGCTGAAAGACTTCAGGCAAGACACTAAACCTCTGGCCCTCAGTCTCCCCCTCTGTCAGTGGGGTGACCCTGCTCTCTGCCTCCTGAGGTTGGTGGTAAGGATTCAGGGAAAGAACTGTGCAAAGCCCTGGACTCAGTGCCTTACAGATAATAGGTGCACCACAGATATCGTTTCTACAGTGTTCTCTTTGTGCCACCTGGCTAGAGGGTTAATCCCTAAAAAAATAATTCTGGTTCCTACTATGAAGCCAGTGTTTTAGGAAAATGTAAATGTCTCTATGGATTTCTATAACCATGTGTAGCTCAATAATAAAAATTTTAATGACTCCAATACTCACCTTCTTGCACTGGAAAAGGGTGCTTTATTTAATGCACACATGTAAAGCATAAGTAAATTCAGCTTTTATGAGTAAGAATTATGGTGTGGCCAGAGTGGTTTGTGGGGTTTTTGTTTTGTTTAGTTGCCTCCTGAAAGCTTTCCTTTCAAGTTGAAGCCAGGCTTGCTCAGCCAATCATTTTGCCAAAGAACACATTAGGGTTTTTAGTTTTGGTCAAAAATACTTCCCATATGTGAAGAACGTAAACGTGACTTTCCAAAGAGCCTAAGAGAACAAAAGCTGGGGGAGAGAAATGGGGGAGAAAAGACAAGGAGGACAGAATGGTGTGACATGGTACAGAGCTGCTGTTGACTACAGGACCCAGAGCCGGGGTGTGCTGGACTCCAAATGAGGTGTCTAGAAGAGACCCCCTCTCATGGGGACACCCAGATTGGCTTGGTCTTTACAGGCAGTGCAGTGTATGTTGTTGCCAGTTTCACTGAGGATGGAGGGTTAAAGGGGTGCATGTTCCAAAGGGAGAGTAAACATATTGTAGGACACTCCTCAAAACTTCCAGCTTTGAGAAGGTACTGAATCAGCAGGTAAGGGTAACAAGTTGGAACATGAAGATCCCAATGTTAGCGTGGTCCACTATCTGACAGGCTGGAAAACAGTCATGTTACTCGGGTTACTTATTTATCCTCTGCCACTGGCCTGTGAGCTTTTGTAGGGCACCCACCCTCATAGGACCTGTGTTGTGTGCACCTAAACGGTTCCCGGCAGGGATGGGTGCTCAATAAATAAAGCACACAAGACATTTTTATGCACAAAGAAGACTGGTAGAACTAAAAATATCTACAAAATATCTCACTTCCAGGTCATCCTATGATAGGAATTTATGTGCCTTACCTTAAGCAACATATAAATCTTCAAAATGTGACATGGTCATTAAGGATTTAAAAAGTTATGCCTTATACCTAACAACTTGCTTTTAGTTTTTTTTTTTATTATGTGCATATGCACGCACACACAAATACATAACCACACACCTCATTTTGGGTTGTAGGTCAAGTTTAGAAATCTGTGAATTTTCAGTGTTGTTACAAACCATTTCCTCTATGATCTCTTATGGGAAACTAATTGCTTCATAGTCCAGAAATACCCATTGTTCACTAGGGCTGCAGTACATGTGCTTTCAGAATTCAAGGGCATAGTTACAGATAATTACCATCAAAGGATTTTAAATGAAGGACATTGTCGCTAAACAAGAAACTAATGACTGAGCGGAGCTGTGTAATGTAATTATGTTTAAGATGGGCCTTCTGATGAATTACAGAAGAATCTTTGTGCTGTCTCATGTCTCCATAAATGCACTTAACTGCCATTGACAGTAATAGGAGGGATTCTTGAATATAAAAAGCTTTTTCTTCGTTTCCAATTTCTAGAGGGAGAACTTAAAAAGAAGAAGTACATTTTTAAAAAGGGTGTCTCTCCCAGTACTTCTGAACATTTAACAATTATATGAAATTTGCAAAACAAAAGTAATTTAAATAGAAACAACTGCTAATAACTCACATTTTTTAACCTTATGGTTAATTTTCATCTGCACAGAAAATCATTTAAAATTACATAGTAGAATAAATGCTTCTAAAGACCTAATTTTTATTTGCTTAAGTCATGCCTGAAATACTGATTAGAAATGTTTCCTTATTAAAATCTAGGGTAAGCCTGGCTCTTTGCTATGTAACTTTAATACATATGAAATGGAAAATGTTTTATTTATTAATCTCTGGTATTAGGCAAAGTCAATAATGATGCCTTCCATTTGAATATTTCTTTACAGTTTCCATGGTGATTGTACATACATTATCTTAGCTGCTCCTCATAATAAATTAATGAGGTTGGCCTGACAAAGGTTGGGATCCCTTTTTACGAATACAAAAACCATGGCTCCAAGAGTTTAAGTAATTGTCCTACAGTCAGTAGCTGAAACATGGAGGCAGGACCACTCTGCTGCTTCTGCCTAAGTAAATTCAATTAGCTAATTTGTGTAACAGAGGATGATTCATTAACTTGCTAATTGCTCTCTTCTTCATGGTTCCTTTCTATAGCAGATGCATAAATATCTGGGAGGCTCCTTGTGATGCTCATTGGTTGATTAGTGTTATTTCTATCAGTAAGCAAAGAATGTAGTAAAGTAAGAAAGCCTCAAGCCATGGAATCCTTGCCTTCAGATCACAGCTTCCCTGCTTACTAATGGACATAGTGCATGAATTCATGCGAGCTAGTTAACCTGTGAGTCTCTGTTCCTTATCTGTAAAGTGGGACAAAAGAAAATCTGCCTCAAGGCTTATGTGAAAAACAAATGGGATGATATTTCAAAGTGCTGGCACAGTGCCTGATGTGAAAGAGAAATACAAGTACCAGTTTTCTCTTCCACCAATCCATTTTTATATTACAGAATTTCTAGAAGCATTGCTTCTAGTCAAGTTAGACAACTTCATATCCAGTGTCTACAGGTGAAACTTCTATGTTCCATCAGCAACAACCAACCATTATTAGGCTGTTACTATTTCAGGTGTGCTGGAATAGTTCCTGTTGATGCCTAAAGGGGCCAGCATCTGTCTGAGGAGAGAGGGGGACATATGTAGAAAGAGATGTAATCAAAGAAATCTTGTGTTAGGTGCCCAGTATGATAATAAGCCACATGGAAGGCTAATATACCTGCATTCAGTTGCTAGGTCCTACAAGAGGCCCAAGGATGCCAGTAACAAAGGTCTATCTGGAAAGACTCATCTAGAAATGATGAAAGCTGAAATATGTCTAGCCCTGCCTTTCTCGGCGTTGCTAAACGGCAGCTACTAAAGACTTTCGACTGAAGCTCCATCCCTGTGGTAAGCCAGGCCATATATACCCTGTTCAGACCAGCCTCAACTCTTCCCCATCCAGTGAGCCTGGAATTCCTCTTTCTGTCATTAGCCTTTAAACACCTGATACTTGACCTAATCACAGGCTTCTCCCTTAAAATACAAACACATTTGTCCAATCTGGCGTGACATCTTGAAATTGCACAATTATCCGTATGCTAGGCATAAAGAGAAATGTTGAGTCCCCTCACGTGGTTCCCTGCATTATTCCTAAGCCATTTGTTGAAGTCCATGCCTTGCATTACATTTCATGCTACCTGTAATCTTCCTGAGCTCAGGCTTTGTTTACCTATTCTCTTATTTATGAGCTCACTACTCCCTTTAAATTTGACTTTTGAAACTATCTTCCTGGATAGAACCTTAGCTCTTTTTCAGCCATAGGTTTGTTAAATTCTCCTTCCTGCTGCTTTGACTTAACAAATCATGTCCTCCATCCCACCTGGCCCCAGAAAGCCCTCCCTCAAGTTAAACTGTATGGAAGGCTTGTCTACCTGCACTTGGCAAATAGCAACTAAAGGTATGTGTTTGATTTGTCTTTCAGTTTCCCTCCTAGGGCTGGAATCCTGGCTTGAATTTTCGGCTGATTGGATGGAACCCTGACATTACCTAGTGCTTACCAGTTCTCTCCCCTGGGACCAAATCCAGTGTCTGTAACCCTCCAGCCACCTGGGCTGTGCTTCTGCCCAGACAGACCTCCGAGAGAATCCAAGGCACTCAAGCATACTTTCTGGCTAGAAACTCCTGTTGCTATGCAAACTACACTGATGTAAGATCACCATTGAAGATTTTCTCAGAGTACTTTCTGTTTCTGGGCCTGTTTCTGTTTCTGTTTCTGGTGGCTGAGTGGGCTCTTGTGACCAGTTCTTTTAACGTGCTATGAGAATTGATAGGTGTTATTTCTGGACAAAGTCTTTGATTGTCAGTGTGAGAATACCCAGAGCTTTCTTTTCTCCTCCATAGTAACCTACAGTGTTCCAGATGGGGATTCTCCCCCAGCCGGGATTCCAGAGTGAAGATGACTCAGAGCAGAGCCCCCAACCAACCCAAAACGAACATATAGATTGAGACATACACTTTTGTTGTGGAAAAAACTGAAGTTTCAAAATTGTTTCCTTCCTCAGCATAGTCTTTCCTATCCTTGTTACTATGCCTTATAACTGATATGCTTCACACTATTAGGGCCACCCTGACCCATATGAGACTAAGTCTGTCATGATCACAACAGCATGTTCGATTGTGCTTAGGGGAAAGACTTGTAACTAAATCAATACCCTTGGTCCCATTGTTACAGAACACAACAAGGGGTGCCTGGGACGATATACTATTATTGAAAGAAGGCCCCGGGTCCGTTATGTCCGCCGCCAGAGGAAAGACGTCTCTCAATGCCAGAGATTCATGAAAAGGAAAGAAATGTTTATTTAATGCTATACAGACTTTAAGTAGTGACCTAATGTCTTCATCAAAAATCCTAAAGTCCCTTAAAACACCCACAAACAGACACAGTCCTTCCTTCCTTCCCCCTTTGCCCAGTCCAGAGTACCGTATCTCAGGAAAGGAAATAGAAGGCTATGGCTCAGGCAGTCCTCTGGTTCTTCCCAGTTAATACTCCATCTCGACTGGGAGACCTCCTTGGGTTCCCGGCACCCTCAGCTGAGTCACCGGGATCTCTGCTAAAACCAGGTGGTGGTTCCCCTTCTAAAGCTGTGGGGGTCCCCACTCTGTCCAGGCCGCGTGGTTCTCCCTCTCAGGGATGCGGGAGTCTTCACTCTGCTAAAGCTGTGTGGCTCTCTCTCCAATGGCCGTGATCCTCTCTGCACCTCCACAGCCACATGGTTCTCTCCCTCTCAGGGCTGTGCATGGCTCTCCTTCTCAAAGCAGCATGGTTCTCCCCCCTAATGGTCACCAAGTCTGGGTTTTAAATCCCCGCGGCCAATCTTCCTCTGCAGCCTCATTTCCGACTCCTCCCACACTCGGCTTCACACGCCAGAATTCATATCCTTCCAGCTTTACTGGGCTGCCATCATGAGTCTGGGCAGGTGTGGCCCCATGTCCTGGAGCCAATCTTCTCTGAGCTCCCACGCAGGTGCTGTAGCTTGGGGAATCTGCCCCCAGTCACGTCTTGGTGGGGAGGTTACTTCCATTCCCCTGGCTCAGGGCATGGCCACAGCTATTTAACATATCTAAGCGACCAGCCAAAGGCTATAGATATGTTAAATGACCACACCAGAGCTTAGCTGCAAGGCTGTTGCTATGCAAAACAGCTCTCAATGGCCCTGCTCCATTTGTCCCTTCCCCCAACCCACACCCTGGGGGTGGGGGGTGGAGACATCTTAAAATCTCCTGGACACCTTAAGTTCTGGACCCCATTTCAAATGCCCATTTGGGGTCCCCCATCTTGGCTGCACCCTGTAACACCATCCCTGAATAACCCATTATGCTTCCTTTTCCCATTAGCATGTGTTGACCTCTTAATCTCACAAGAGTCAGAAGGACACTTACTCTATTCCAGAATTTTCAAAGAGATTATCAGTTGGGATAGTGTTTAGCTGCAAGTGATAATAACCTATTTGACAGTGGCATATATGATGGTTATTTCCTTATTAAGAAATAGTGAGACAAGCGGTCATCAAGTTGACTTGTGGACTCAATAATTCCATCAAAGCCCCAAGGCTTTTTTATCCTTCTGTTCCCCTGGCTTCAGTCAGCTGGCTTTTGACCCCAGGTTTGTTACTTCCTGATTGCAAGATGCTGCCTCTTTTAGAGGCATCTTATTTTTCAGGTAACAGCATCCAAAGAATAACAGGACCACCTCTCTATGCCATCTTTTTTTTTCTTTTATCAAGGAAGAGCCTCCCAAAAGACTTCTTAGGTCTCATTGGCCAGATTCTGCATCACAGCCTGCTATGTGAGATTGTCAAGACTGGCTTAGAGAACTCATGATGCCCTGGGACTGGATGTATTGCTGTCCCAGCAGAATCATGCTTCTTTTAGAAAGGGAAAGGAAGGAAGGGTTGTTGTATAGACAGCCAACAGAGTTTTCCAGAATAATAATAGGTTTTACTTGGAGAAAAAAAGAGCAATAGTGAGTTAAGTTTGAATAACACTTGAATTACACAGGCTTCATTATTTTAGTGTATTTTAGGATAGTCCTAATATTTGTTGTGAATCTCCTAGAGAGATAAGTTGTAAAGCATCTCTAAGACTTGACCTGAGAAGATCTGAGAAGTTTTTGTACAGAGCATTTTATTTCATTCATTTAGTTGCATGCTAACTAACCAAGAGTTTGTAATGTTTTGATCTGAGTTGTATGAATGTTTCTTTCATGTTATCTGTGAATAAGTGGTTTATTCAGTGAATTAATGACAACTAAGTGAAATACATTTCTTTGCCTAATTATAGAAACAAAATGCTATTCACTACTATCTCAATTTACTTTATTAACTTTATTACATCAAATATTGTCTTACAAATGAATGTTACTAATTATCTATGTCTAAACTAGACACTAAAAATAGGCTCAATGATGACCTCTATTTAGAAATACATTATAAGAAGTCTTTCAATTAAATTAAATTGTCCTTTCAGTTAAATTAAATTGGAGCTTTAGAAGCACCAGAGATTAAGCCATTGGGATAGCAGGTGTCAAATCCTAACTAGTAATACAATCCTTCATTTCCTTGTGATTTTGTTTTAGATTGAGCATTTCCATTTATTCTAACTTTGAAGTCTTCCTCCTATTATACATGCCAGATGGAAAAGTCCCTCATCACACACAGCAGCCTGATATTCCACTCTCACCTTCCCTCCCAGTGCACACTCTAACCTTACACCACACATACACACATAACAACACGGACAACTTTAACATATTGGTAAGACTTTGGCTAAAGAAGAGTAAAACCTTTCTCCTTGAGACCAAGCAAATACCAAAAGAAAATGTATTTAACATTAGCCATTTTGTGACATGTGACATTACTAATACTAAATTTCATGTCTTACATCGAAGTGGAGCAGATTTAAATTCCACTATCATATAGAAATTTTAATACCATCCCTTTGACAATATGCTTCTAAGATTTTTGGTTTAGTATACTTTAGTGATTTTAAAAGAAGTTTTGGCATGCACTAGAAGATAAAAATGTGTTACAATTAAACAGGATTTGAAGAAACCATAGTTGAATTATGTTAATAGCAAACATGTGCTTATTTTTTGTGCAAATGTGCATTTTCCTCTTTAACATCTACATAGTAATTTTTAAAGTATAAATTGCAAAACATATGGCTTAGCTGTTCTACACAGGTGTTATGTAGTGCTGGAGAACATATTGTGCTTATATGTCTTCAACCATATGCTTCAATCCTGCTCTTCTTACAACAAATACTTTATAGACTTCCTGCTATTTATATCAGGAACATGTATTTGGCCTTGATATCACCTGCTCTTTTTAGTACAGAGACTTACCAGGAAACTTCTGGGAGCTTATAAAATCTACAGGAAATAAATACAATCTTGACTTTGTTATTAAGGTGATTGAGTTGGTAAGGAAGTAGTTAAAAAATTTTTATGATTTTAAGTGTAGAATGAGATAACAGTGTGTTACCATTTTAAGCCTTTCCTTATTATTTTATTCCCCAAGACCTTTTTGCATCTGTATAAAACCTTAACTCTGCATGTTAAAAAATTACTACTTCTCATACCATACTTTAATCACAATTCTCATTTTCAAGAATTACATTCCATGTACCAGTAACAGTAACTAATAAATAATAAATAGTAGCTTACATTGGATAAATACTATCATAGACTTTTGGGTCATATTAAAATAACACTAGAACCATCATCCCATCCAACTTCAGATCCATGGTTCCTCTAACCCAGTGATTCTCACTCCCAGGTGTGTATTAGAATTACCTGGTGAGCTGGGGCTCCATCTCCAGAGATTCTGTTCTGGGATGTGGCCTGATGTCAGTATGTTTGAAAACCCTGAGTAATTCTAAAGTGCAGTTGGCATTAAGAACCATTGCAATCTAACTATGGCTACAACCTCCTGCGGTGTCCAGGATGGGGCTCTGTGGAACGAGAATGAGAGAATATCCTTCAGGGTATACACTTAACACCACCATCACCAACAATGACAAGCCATTCAGTGCAAACATGCGAGATTGGATTTTATTCATTACTTTTTTAATCTTTAAAAAACACTATAATGGGTCTACTATTGCCCTCATTTTTATCGATGAATAAACTGAAGCACCAAGAAGTTAAGTAAATTAGCAATAGTTATGGAGTCAGTAAATAGTGAAGCCAGGACTCAAACTAAATCTGCATGAAAGCAAAATGCATACTCTTCATAATGTTACACTTTAGATATAGTTTCTTCATGATTCTTAGTTAAAAGTAGGCTGCTGTCTAGGCTGAGCAGATAACTTCTTAATATCAGCCTGTGACGACAGACATTTCCATTATTCTTCATCAAAGAGCCACCTCTAGGGAAGTAGCCACTACCAGGGTTATTTTTACATGAGATCAAGAAGCAGGGCTGTCCACCCCACAGTTTGTGGGCTACATGCAGCCCAGGATGGCCATGAATGTGGCCCAACACAAAATTGTAAATTTACTTGAAACCTTTATTTTGCTCATCAGTTTTTATTAGTGTTTGTGTGTTTAATGTGTGGCCAAAGCAACTCTTCTTCTTCCAGTGTGGCCCAGAGATGCCAAAAGTTTGGACATTCTAGGATTGCATTTTACATGAAAGTGCAACCTAAGACTACAGGTTGGTTATGATCACTAGCTAGTGGTAGTGCTTTAAAGAGAAGTACACATTTTAAGTGCAGCAATCAATATTTGATAGGCACAGACTACTTCTTTCAGGATTGTCTAGAATTTCTATACAGGAATTACTTAGGGGACTATATATGCTAGAAAGGGTGAAATAGCAGACTTGTCATAAAACTCCTTTTTAAGTCCTTTCTATAAGAATGAGAAAACGTCAACTGTCCAGGTAAGAGAATTGAGGAGAAAACTGGTGGGAATTGTGGAAAAGCCAAAGCCCACTCACTAGAGAAAACATATTTTTCACTGCTGCTGCCCTTCAGGTAGATAAGGATGTTTATGTAACCATCTGATCCAGGTTAAAAGGAATGAATTAGGTACTCTGTAAGTGAAAGTATCTTTATAAGAAAATATTATTTCTATTAGTATCCCCTTTGAAAGGAATCTCTCCCATAGGAAAGGTTTCCCATACATCGTCACTCTTCCTCCCTCCAAACCTAGGTTCTAATTACATCTAACAGCTCCCTAGCTAACTTTTTGCCTATATCCCTCTTTCATTTAAACTAGCCTGACTACGCTGCCATCTCATCATCAACTCTCTCAACTTGTCTTTCACTTGGTTATCTATTTTGAAGAGTAAAATTGAATAAATGGAAGGTCATGGTGAGGTCTTAACTAGGGGTATAGAAGTAGAGTCCATCACTGTGTGAGAAGCTGGAAGACAAATGCCAAAGTGATGTTCTGGAAGAGATACCAAGGTCAAGGGTAGGATAGCAGGCCAAGTTAGTTGTTATTCACAAAGGCTAGGTGAGGAATAGATGTGAGATACAGAGCCCAACTGAGGAAGACAGAGAGCAAGGACTCAAAGGAAAGGTAGTTTAAATGAATGTTGGAGACAAAATGCTTATGACAATAGCATTTTTTTGTATGAAGTTCCAAAATGAGTGAGCCAGTAGCTTTAAAGGGCTGGAATGGTATGGACACCACTGCTCTGGCTCTAATACTTGGATATACTTCTGAACAGGGGATGCTCTTCAGCCCATATAACCCCTAGTGGATCCATCACTGGGACTGGCTAGTGTATCACTGGGATTCTGAAACTTCCTTCTCCTATAAGATTTTTTTAGATCAGTCCAGAAGGGAGTGGTACATGAGTAATCCTAAACAGGCTCCTCCTTCTAAATTACCCAGTACCCTGAAGCCCATGATTGTTCACAGCACACTGCTATGTAACAAATACTTAGGAAAACAACCAGTGTCTCTGCCTATGGTAGCACTGGAAAACCTGTCTCCAGAGTTATAATCAGTCTGAAAAACAGAGAATGTCACCATACCTTTTGTTTGTTTCAGAATCTAACCAGGAAATAGAGGCCACTTGAACATCCATTCCAGGGATTTCAAAATTGGGAAGATGTTACACGGGCAACGGAGGAATGGAGAGTCAAATAGAGGACAGGGAGGCAACCCAGAGAATAATTACAGAATGAAGCCACTAAGACCCTTGACTGGAGGGACAGAGGAAGAAGTGGTGTTACTGGTCCCTGGGCAGAAACTAAGAGCCTGACAGGACTGTGCATGGAGAGATGGAGCTGCTGCTGGAGTCGCTGCCCAAGACAGAAGAGAGGGATGAAAACCGCTGGCTTCTCCCTCCTCTCATCCTCCAGTCTCCCACCAGGCCTCCCATTAGCCATATTCAGCTGGAAACCAGATGAAGTAGGGGCTGAGAAAGGCAGCTTGCAGGGATCAGCCACTGCAAATACAGAACAGAGCAGGGGAGAGTGGAAGACCTGCCTGAGGGCAAACTACCCTGGAGAAGCTAAGCAGTCTTCTTTGTCACCTTCACCACTAATCAAAGTACGGGTCCTTAGACATACTCCATATTATTAGTATTGCTCCTTGCTTCATTTCCACACTTTAGCCTTACACTTTGAGATCCTTATGCCAATCCATTTGCTGTGCCTTAGGGAGTTCCCATTCATTCATACTACTCTGTACCCTGAACCTCTTCTCCAAACGCTCGCTCTTTCTGACTTTAATTGAATCATAAATAATCACATTTGGCAAAAAAATCTTGTGTCATTCATTCTCTCATGTAACAGTGATATATTAAATGGGAATTATATTGATAATAACTAACTTTGTACTTTGCATGTGTTTTACACATATTAAGCTGTGTCACAACCACCTTATGTTCCTTTTTATAAATCAGAACACTGAGACATGCGGCTCTTATAAGAAACTTGCTAGTAACATAGTTCATAAGTAGCAGAGCCAGGAACTAAACATGCAGCCAGGCTCTAGAGCCCAAAGTGTTGTCCAGCACACATCCCTGTTAGAAATGGACATGCAATAGTGACCACTACAGAGATGATCCCTGCTAATGGAGGTACAGTTTAGGGGGAGAAAATATTTCTAACTTCTCATTTTGAAATAATTGTAGTTTTATGGAATTTACAGAACAGTTGGAAACAGTACAGATAGTTTCCACATGCATTTCCTCTTGCTTCCCCGAACATTATCTTCCACGGCCTGAGCATATTTATCATCACTAAGCAGTTAACACTGGTACAATACTATTAACTGAATTACAGACTTTAATAGACTTCACCAGTTTTTCCCACTAGTGTTTTTGTTCCAGGATCCCCTTCAGGATATTGCATTTAGTCATCATGTCTCCTTCATCTTCTCCTGTCTCTGACAGCTTCTCAGAATTCCTTTTTTTAAAAAATTTAATCTTCATTGTATTTTTCCAGTACCATTTAGTCCCCTTAGTCCTCCTCCCCGCAGTGATCACCACACTGTTGTCCGTGTCTATGAGTCCTTTTTCCTTTTTGCTCAATTCCTCCACCCCTTAGCCAACTAGCTATCATCTGTCATCCTTTGTTTTTTATGACCTTGACACTCTTGAAAATTACTGGATAGGTGTTTTGTAGGAAATCCTCAGTTTGGGATTACCTGATGTTTTCTCAGAATAGACGGAAGTTAGGGAATTTGGGGATGAATAATATAAAGGTCAAGGGCCCTTCTCATCACATCATATCAAGGACACATGCCATAGTATAAACCCGATTTATCACTGGTGATATTAGCCTCAATCATTTAGTTAAGATAGTTTACTTCAGATTTCTTTACTGTAAAGTTACTATTTTTTTCTGTTTTCACATTCTACTACTTAGAATGGAATGACTAAGTCTCACCCATACTCAGGGAAAGAGAGGAATTAAGCTCTATTTCCTGAACTGGGGAGCAACCCATTATTATTTGTAATTCTTCTGTTAGGAAATATTTGTCCGTTTTCTTCCAATTATTTTTCTAGTTTATTCAATCATTTATATCAGCATAGAGTTATGGATGTTTATTTTATTCTTTAGGTTATAATCTAGTACTATCATTATTTATTTTGTTTCTCAAATTGTTCTACTTTTGGCTACCAGGACCTATTTCAGTTTAACACACAATGTCCTTTCCATGTGTCACCATATTTAAAAGCATTTCTTTGTTTTCTGTCACTGCAAGATGCTTCAGGTACATCATATATATTCCCTGCCTCAACTTTGGAATAAGTCATTCTCCAAAGGAGCCTTGGTTCCTTTATTGGAGAATGGAATTAGAAACCAAGCCCACTCAGTGGTCAATGCCAGAGAATTCATGTATGTGTTGTACTAACCCACATATATACCATAAGAAGACTTTAAGTAAATAAGAATACAAATAGGTTTTTACAAATGCCATGAAGAAAAATGTCATATTCTATGATGGAATTACAGGTGTGCCCTGATACAAATGGTGTGAGGTGAAGGTCAGGGTGGTCATCTTTGCAGCAAGAATATGTAAGCCAAAATCTATCGATTGAACAGGAATTAGTCAGGTGAAGGGACAAAGAGACAGTGTTTCAGGTAGAAGGAGCAGCATTTGAAGAAGCACTAAGTAAAAAGAGCTCAATGTATTTGAACAATCAGAAGTGGTCCATCACGATGGCAGCAAAGTGATCCAGGGGAAATGAATTGAAGGCTGCAGGTGGGCAGAGGCTGGATCACAGAGGGCCTTGAAGCCATGGTAAGACTTTCAGATTTTGTCATGGATGCAATGGTTTGCACACTGAATGGTTAAAACACTGAAGGGATTTAAATAGGGAGGGGAGGGGCATCCTACTTGACATAGAAATGTATGACATGTGAAGTTGGAGCCTCCCCAACTTCTTAGCTCTCCCATCCCACCTCCTATATAAGCTTTTCTCTGCTGGCAGTCATCTCCAGAAAGCTTTACACCTGGTCTGTAGTCTTATCTTTCTAGTTTTTTGGCTGTCAACAAGGCCATACTTATAAAATGAACTCATAAGAAGGACACCTAAACACTTCTGTTGTGACCTATAGTCTCATATACATTATTTATTTCAGTCAAAGTCTTTTTTAGGACCAGGCATCTATCCAATGTCTCACAGAACTCCAGGCTCTACTAAATACTAGGAATAATGTTTCCCTCTTTTCTTCCATTTCTAAGAAGCTCAGGACTACATTTTATACTCAAATGTATTTTCCTCCGCTGTGAATTCTTGATAAAATATTTCTCTTTCACCAGTTGGTTGCCCTTAGTGACTACTAGGATTATTTATTTTTATTTTTAAGATTTTATTTATTTATTTTTAGAGAGGGAAGGGAGAGAGAGAGAGAGAGAGAAAGAGAAACATCAATGTGCGGTTGCTGGGGGTCATGGCCTGCAACCTAGGCATGTACCCTGACTGGGAATTGAACCTGCGACACTTTGATTCGCAGCCCACGCTCAATCCACTGAGCTATGCCAGCCAGGGCTCAGGATTATCTCTTTTATTATACCTGTACTTCTACTTTAAGAAAATTGAACCTTTTTTGAAATTAGGACAGTTACAAATTTTTAAAAAATTAACAAAGAAATAATGAAGCCTATCCTACAAATCAATACCGGAATTTTCTCTTTGGCACCACTACCAGCCTCAGCTGGAGGATTTTAGTAACATGGAGTTCCTGAGTGGTTCTGTTTCTCTGAACAGCTCTAATTACTGCAGAGTTATTAGATGTTTATTGATTGTTGGGCCAAATGAATTAACAATGGTCTGTTGTCTTTATTTTTGTTGAATAATGAGTTAGTGGTTGTTCAAAAATGTTTATAGTGTTTTATTTAAAATCTAAAGGTTTACTAGGTTTAAAGCAAATTAAGAAAACAGTTTATTAAAACCATAGGTTTAAAAATTAATGGACCAAATGCAACTATAAAAATAAAAATGGAAGGTTCTATATCATCTATGGAGTAGTACTGTTAGAATGCAATGAAGACAATTAATTATCCCTAGAGGAATACTATTACCACCATGGCTTAATTATGGTTTATTTTCCCTTTCCTCTTGTGATAATTATTCACTCCTTCAGACTAAGAAATGCTGACAGTTCTCTAATAGTGTGGTTATTTTTATCCCACACACCCTGCAATTTCCTCTCATTTTAGTCCTAAGACAATGTGTTCATTTATTTTCAGGTCCTAAATTTGTTTTAATGATGTCTATGTTTTTTTCAGATTAATGATTCTCTAATTTTAAAATCTTAGAACAATTTCATTCTGATATTTAAAAATATATTGAGTGCCATTTAACATGTTAAGGAATTCTCTGTCCTTACTCAGTCTATACATAAATTTAAGTTTGAAGATCAAGGCAGAATAGCATCAAGACTGGAAGTCACAAGACTTGGGTTTGAATGGTAACTCTATCACACATTAGTTATGTGTGAACTGGGACAAAACAGTTAATCCCTATGGGTTGCTCTTCTTTTTATTTTTAAGATAGAGTTAGTAATCAGTCCTCTGTGTTGTTATGAGGTTCAGATAGAATAATGGCTGAAAAACTGTTCGCTTTGTACACCATAAAGTTCTTGTCATGTATCAGTCATAGCATATGTATTCATTCATTTCAGAAGCATTTGCTGAATACACACTATCTGCCAGACCCTATGTTCATGCCAGAAATGTAAAGATGTTTGAATAGAGGAGGAGGAGGAGGAGGAGGAGGATGGTGATGACAAAATTTCATAGGGCTAAATATTTACATATTATTTCTTATATCTATGTAATATCAGAGTATTTTAAAGGAGTTATGATATTTCCTCCTATCAAATGTTTTAAATTTATATTTTACCTACTTTGGAAGCAGTAATTTTATTCTAAGTTTGTCACAGACATTATATGCTGAATGTCAACAATGAAGCTGAAAATCTGGACTTAGGATAGGATATAATTTATGATTCTATAATTTCTAGCAGAAAAGTAAAAAACTTATTTTTTTTATTAAACTGGTACATTCTATCAGGCTTTGTGTTTAGTTCCCAGTGTTGTCTCCAATCAACTCTTCCTGTTTTGAACTGACAGTGGGCCCAGGCAGTCTTTCAATACAAATTGTCACAGAGAGAGACCACCTGTAGCACCTACTTTTTTCAAAGTCAAAAGCACAAATGGCCGAAAGGACTCCAAGAGCAAGAGAGATGTGAATTGTGATTGCAAAAGGACTCCAAATAACTGTAATTACCTAGGGGAAGCAAGAGACAACAAGATAATGCCAAGTTTAAACAATCATGCAACAAATACAGATGGAGCAGTTACCGTGTACGAAGCACTATGCTAGTGAAGGGAATGCAGTAGTGACTATACTGATTCTCCATTCATGGATTTTCAAGAAGTGAGGGATAATTAAGAAAAGTTAGGAAGAATCTTCTAGGCAAAGAAAACAGCACTAGGGAAGGCCTAGATGTAAGAGGAACCTAGCCTTTAAGTTACTCCTGGAGCATAGAAAACATGTTCTGAGATGTTCTGTATACCTGTATCTTCCTTACAATGTCTGGTATTATGATGAACACATAGAGATGAACAACAACATTTCTGAATCATTAGTGAACAATGGACACCAATGACTTGAGCACCATTGGATCAGTTGCCCAACCCCACCACCCCCAGTCTCGGAGCTTGTCTACTGCTGAATGCCAGACATTCATATCTTCATTGGTAAAGCATGAATCATGAGATCCACAGGATGA